AATCATAAATATTTCTAATTCCTTAAAGTTTATTGCCTTATCAAATGATAAAACAAAATTTAGATGGCTTTTTATATCATAAGAAATTAAAAGTTACAGATAATTAAATTATTTTCTATAAATGAATTTCTGAACTATGGGAGCAGAGTATAAATAAACATGGGAAAGGGATTTTTATGTAGAAAACCTTTACTGTAACATTTAAAAAGAATTTGATCTTGATATTATTTAAAAGTACTTAACCAATTTCAAGATATTTTCTGATTACAAAAGCCATTGTTTGTGGAAAAGAAAAGCGAAAATGTGTTTTCATAAATCCAACAATACAAATTAGAGAAAAGTATATGTTAATTAGGTAAAGACTCTAAATTAGAAGAATATGCCTTGAAATTTAAAAAAATTAGTCAAGATGTATGTGCAGTTAGGCAGCATAAATCTTTTATTTTTCTTTTGAACTAGAAGTTTCAATTACATAACAAAAAATAACTCATGACAATAGTGCACATCATTGCTTTTAATCGAGTGCTTAACATGTCCTCTCTGAAAATCTAGTTTAAAGGTTTTTATAATGAGCAAAATGCAGAAAAAGTTAATATATCTAAATTTCATCATGTTATCATATTCCCTAGATAGTATGATAGTCTCAAATGATTCCTATAACTGAAAAATACTACTAACCTTATAAATACATTCACAATTCCTCATAAAAATGGCATTTTGTTACAACATCAAATTAAAGAGGGCCAGACTTAACATTTTAGAAATGATCAAAAATATTTTAAAAAATAATTATAGGTTTAGTAATAAATTTTTCCTCTTTGAAAATATTTTATTAATTGTGATATTTTTATAGATTACAAATTTCAGCATGATTAGTAAATTGAGGTCTTAACTCTTTGACAGCACTATATAATATTTAATAGTAGTCCCTGGCAAGGATTTATACATTTCAGAAAACTACATGCATTCTTTTAAATTATCAAGGTTTATGTAAATGGCTATGCTCTACACTCTACCTCACTAAGTTCTTCCCAGGCTCACAAGGTGTAGGTTTTTTCCTCTGTTTATTCTCCTTCTCTTCCTTCCTCCCTCCCACCCTCCCTCCCTTCTTTTCTTCTTCCTTCTCTGTATATTCTACTTCTCTTCCTTCTTCCTTCTCACCCTCCCTTCTTTCCTTCCATTTATTCATTGATTTACTCACTTGTTCAACAAGCATTTATTGAATGCCTAATATGGGACAGGCACTGGACAAACTATGCAGAGATAAAACAAGAATTACAATGTATCTCCTGCCCATAAAAACCTTATATTCTAGATTCTGGTTATTAGTCCTTTATGGATGTATAGCACACAAATATTTTCTCCCATTCTGTAGGTTGTCTATTCACTCTATTTATTGTTTCCTTGGCTGTGCAGAAGTTTTTAAAAAATGTAATCAAGTCCCATTTATTTATTTTGGTTGTTGCTGTTGCCTTTGGGATCTTCTGCATAAATTCTTTGCCTAAACTGATATCTAGAAGAGTTTTTCCAACATTTTCTTCTAGAACTCTTGTAGTTTCATGCCTTAGGTTTAAGCCTGTTATCCATCTTGAATTAATTTTTGTGTGGTAAGAGGTAAGGATCCTATTTCAGTCTTCTATATGTTGCTATTCAATTTTTCCAGCACCGTTTATTGAATAAGGATTATTTTCCCCAGTGCATATTATTGTCTGCTTTGTCAAAGATCAAATGGCAATATGAGGATGATTTTATATCTGGGTTCTCTGTTGTGATCCATTGGTCTATGTCTCTGTTTTTGTACCCCACTACAATGCTGTTTTGGTTATTGTAGCCTTGTTGCATTGCTTGAAGTCAGAAAAAGTGATGCCTTCTGATTTGTTGCTTTCACTTAAGGTTTTTTTGGCTATGCAGGGTCTTTTCTGGTTCCATACGTAGTGTAGAATTATTTTTTCTAGATTTGTGAAAAATGACATTGGTATTTTAATGGGGATTGCATTAAATCTGCATATCACTTTGGGTAGTTTAGGCATTTTAACAATGTTGATTCTGCTGATCCATGAGCATGATTTGTTTTTCCATTTGTTTACATTCTCTGAGATTTTTCTTCCTCATTTATTCATAGTTCTTCTTATAGAGGTCTTTCACCTCCTTGGTAAATGCATTCCTAGGTACTTTGCTTTCTTTGTTGCTATTGTAAAAGGTATGGAATATTTAATTTGATTCTCAGCTTGATTGTTGTTGGTATATAGAAATGCTACTGATTTCTGTACATTGATTTTTAACCTGAGACTCTGCTGAATTTATTTATCACTTCCAGGAGTCTCTTGGCAGAGTCTCTGAGGTTTAAATCAAATATCCCCATTAAAAAGTGGGCAAAAATTATGAAAAAAGCTTTTCAAAAGAAGATAAAATTGACCAATGAACACATGAAAAAATGCTCAATATCTCTAATCATCAGGGAAATGCAAATCAAAACCACAGTGAGATACCACCTAACTCTGGTGAGAATGGCTTTTATCAAAAAGTCCCCAAAAAACAGATGCTGGCATGGATGCAGAGAGAAAGGAACACTGATACACTGCTGGTGGGACTGCAGACTAGTACAACCTTTATGGAAAACAGTATGTAGATTCCTCAAAAAACTAAAAGTAGACCTACCATTTGATCCAGCAATCCCACTACTGGGTATTTAATCAAAAGGAAAAAAAAGCCATTTTATTAAAAAAAAAAGACTTGCATTCGAATGTTTATCGTAGCACAATTCACAATTACAAAGATCTGGAATCAATCCAAGTGCCCATCAATTCATGAATGGATTAATAAATTCAGGATATGTAAATCATGGAGTACTAGTCAGCCATAAAAATTGAATTAAAACCTTTTGTAACAACCTGGATGGAAGTAGGAACCATTCTCCCAAGTGAAGTATGGTAACAATGGAAAAACAAACACCACGTGTACTCACTATTAAGTTGGAACTAACAGATCAGTATTCATGTGCACATATGAAAATAAAACTCAATGGAAATCAAGCAGGTGGGAAAAGGCAGGAGGGGAATGGACAAAAATCACACCTAATGGGTACAATGCATACACTCTGGGTTATGGGTGCACTTATAACTTTGACTCAAACTGTACAAAAGCAATCCATGTTGCCAAATCATTTGTGCCCTGGCAATATTCTGAAATAAACAATTTTAAAAAGCTTATAGTTTAGAAAGAAATAGACAAGTAATCACTCATTTCATTAGAGTGGTATAAATACCAGCATAGGGGTATATAAATATGGAGTGCAGTTAGAGTTCACAGCATACAGAAGAAAGTGAAGAGATAGTTTCTCCAACATCTTTTCTCCTTCCGAGTTGAGGTTTAAAACAAGAAGATTCAGCCAGATGATGGTAGGATTAAGAGGATGAGCAGAGTCAAATACATACGTTATATTTTGAGGAAACAGTAGTTTTGAAAAGATGGAAGAAAGAAAGCATATTGTACTTCTGGGCCCTCAAGTTGTTTCACTTAGAGTTAGAGGGAAAGTTGGTAGCAAGAGAGAGGCTCAAGAGAGAAGCAAGAGCAAATTGCAGAGAGACTTGCATTACTATCCATTTAAGATCAGTGTGTTTCAATTCATAGATCCCTTCTCATCCCTTCTGGTATTTCAGCCAGTGTTTTTTAGATTAGTGGTTTTTTCTTTAGTTTGGTATTTTCATCCTTGTCTATGTCTGCATCCTTTTCTGTTGCCTATATAGAGGTATAAGTTATTCTGATATTGACTGAAGTTTATATTTCCTACATTGAATGAACGAGAACAAAATCAAAACATTTTAAAATAAAAGGGAAATTTAAAATATAAAAACAATCCCAAGAATGGAAAAACAAGCACCACATGTACTCACCAGCAAACTGGTATTAACTGAGCAGCACCTAAGTGGATACATAGGTACTACAGTAATAGGGTATTGGGCAGGTGGGAGGGGGGAGGGGGTGGGTATATACATACATAATGAGTGAGATGTGTACCATCTGGGGGATGGTCATGCTGGAAATTCAGACTTGTGGGGGGATGGGGGAAAAGGGCATTTATTGAAACCTTAAAATCTGTACCCCCATAATATGCCGAAATAAAAAATAAATAAATAAAAACAAAATTTTGAGAATCTCAAATCTAGAATCTCACTAAAAAAGTATGTAAAAGGTATAGTTTAGTAACAAGAAAAAAAAAACAATTAGAAAGGTCTAATAAGCAGAAAGAGTTGTGTGGAAAATATTAATCTGGAGATAAATGTAAGCATTTGTTATACAAATTAATAATAAATGATCTTAAAATAGGAATTAGTAAATAAGATAGGTATAAAATGATGGAAAATGGAATATATATATCAGGAAAGGATGATAAGGTCCTTAAACTGTTCAGGAAGAAGTTAAAGATGTTGATTGTGCTTAACATCTGGTAAGTAAAATATGCATTCAAAAATTCTATTAATAATTTATAACTTTAAACTTTATAAATAAAAGACAGCATAAGAAAAAAGCTCAATTCTAAACATGATCAACTTAGTTTTATCTAAAAATATGGCTTCAAATTTCATAAAGCAAAATATGGACAGAAAAATTGAAAAAATAGAGAAATCTACTACCTTACTGAGTAGGTAATAGGTAGTACTTATTTTAATACAGCTTTCTCAGTAATTGATAGATCAGTCAGAAAATGAATCAGAAATATAAAAGATTTAAATAACACAATTAGTCTTGCCAGACTTGCAACAGAGGAACCAGCTGAGCTATGTTGTGCTTAGACTTCTGACTCCAAAAAATGTTGAGGTAATAAACGGAGCTGTTTTAAGATGCTAAATTTGTAGTAATTTGTTATGCAGCAATAGCAAATTAATATAGGCAGAAAATTGGCTAAATGCTATTTAATTATTCGCAGAGAGAAAATTTTACTATTTATAATTCTAAACTAAAATCAGTAATTTTTATATTTTTAAATATGAAAAACTCACTGTTTTTGATAGAGCAGATACTTCATTCTTTGATGACTTTGCTTCTTTCATTACTTCAGTCACCACCTCTTCGTTCTCCTCCATGTCAACAGTAATACTGTGTATTGATGAAGAGTAGTGAACATATAGATTGCTAAGTTTTTCTAGCTCTCTCCTAGGAGAAAAACATAGTTGATATTATCCACATTAAAAAGAAAATTCTATTTTAAATTATACTTAAATGAACTCTGACTTAACAATATGAATCAATGAAATTTATCAATTTCTATGGTTTCTCCTATCCCAAAACAACTCTGCAGTTCCTAAAAAGTACCACTTAGATATTAAGTAAATAGTGAGAAAAAACTATAACTCACCAGTAGTATTTATGTTTCCAAGTGGAAGGAATTGAGAGAAAAATAATTTATGAATGATTAAAAATAAACCACCTCCTGATTTGATTTTAGGTGAGAGACTTAAGCACATACATTGGGTAATACAGAGATGGAAAGGCAGTTAAAAAAAAAAAAAGATAAAGAAAGAAAAGGCAGCAGTGAAAAGACCGAGCAGTTATTATAGTTCTCACAGTCTTAGATGTAAAATAAAGGAAACTGCAGTTTAGGAAAAAGAGGAGCTTATTTAAAGAGAAACAATTGCCTAGGAATTCTTTGTCACTCTATAACCTTCCACAAGGAAGACCAGTGCTAATATGTTAACCACATAATCTTAGTAGAAAAGACATTCTAAATATAAAATTCTCTTTAAACAATGATATGGTTGTCTAATATAGGAAAAAAATCGCGGTAATAAAATGGTAAAATATCCATTTTCATAAAATATTAGCAAATAATAGACATAATTCCAATTTTTTGTAAGACACCATAAACAAAATAATAGACTGGGTGATTTATTAATATTTGAAACCCATATAAAAGATCAAAGAGTAAATCATTTATTCAGCACACCTGAAATGTGTTGCTTATGTCCAGTCTACTCCATAATCTCTTTTTGGTTGCTATCACTGCAGTAAACCCTGCTTCACAAAGATAGGATGTTGGAAATGGAAGCAGGTTTTTCTGTGCTTTTGTGGCAGTCTCAGGATATTCTGCCTTGACTTTAATCCAGAATGCATGGAGATTTGAAGTTGTCCCAAACATACTTTTAAGGCCACTGTCATTTGCGATCTCAAGCAGTTCATCCTCTTCTAGCATGGACAAAGTTGATTCGCCTGGTTTATTCACAAATGGGTTGGGGATACATTCTTTCCCAGTTTGGGGGTCTTTTGTGGATGAAAAGTAATGCTCAAACTCTTTTGAAAGCTGAGATAGGTGATCATGCACCAGCTGGGAGACAGCAAGCCCTATCTCAGTATCTTTAAATGTTTGTGCTAATGTTTGAAACATATCAAAAATCCCAATGTTCACTCGTTGCCCCATAATTCCAGTTTGACTTTGAAAGCAGCCACTTTATCTGCTGACTTGAACATAATTGTCTTTCTCCCCTAAAGTGACAGATTGAGTTCATTGAGCAGGCTGAATATGTCACACAAATGAGCAAGTTTTTTGACACATTTTGTGTGACTGAAATGTGCTGCCTATGGTGACTGTTTTTCTAAAGGAAATTTCTGGACTGGCTCTCATAACTCAAAAACTCTGGCCAGTGATCTACCTTTACAAAGCCATCTCACTTCTGTGTATAAGAGAAGATGTATGTGCTCTGCGTCCCTTTCCTCACAGAGCTGTGTGAACAGACGTGAGTTAAGGGTACTTTAATGTGGCTGATAATTTTAATCACATCCTGTAAAACGTTGTTTAGTTCAGGTGACATATTTAGGCTAGCTAGCATTTCTGTATGAATTACATAGTGCATAGACTCACATTCAGAAGCAACCTACTTGATCTGAGTAGTGAAACCAGAAAGCTGTCCAGTCATGGCAGCCACTTCATCCATGCATATACCAACACAAAATGACCAATTCAGTTTTCTTGATGTGTAATCCTTCAAGGACTTGTATGGTTCTTCAACTGTGGTCTTGGTTGGCAACAAAAGTGTACATACCATATCCTCGTGCACCTTCTCCTGAAAAATATGTTTCACAAAAACAAGAAATGTTGCCTTGTTGGTCAATCTGGATTGCATAACCACGGTGACATATTAATCCTAACAATTGTGCCTCAAATATCCTCTGCTGTTTCATCAATTCTTCTAGTTATGGTGCTAGCTGAAACAGGAACACGTGCCACCTTTTGAACTGCAGCCTCTCCTAAAAGTTCCTTAGCAGCAGGCAGGATCGACTCTTCACCAATAGTAAAGGGCTTCTTAGCTTTAGCAATGTGGTTAGCCACTAATAATGATGCTCTCAGTGCAGACACATTTGATGACTAGTGGTCTTCAATAATTATTCTTCATGTTCACGTTGTTTTCTTTTGCAAAACTCCAAAGGTTTGTATTTTAACGCAGGGTGCTTTGTCTCCATGTGGAGAAGCAGTTTGGAAGGTGTCATGGCTTCGTTGGGTAGTGGATCACCACATATAATACAAAGTGGGCTTGGAGAATGTGAATCACTTGTTGCAAGGAACCTGCCAGTAATTTAAGTAGGACTCTTTGTATTTTCTTTGAAATTCAGTTTTCATGTTGTTGGCAGTCTTAGAGTCTTCTGCTGTCTCCTCATTGGTTCTTCCCACTTGTCAAAGAAACTCTCCAGCGACGTTTGTTTTTTTACTCATTTTTCCTAGAGTTAGCTTATGGGTTTACCCAAACCATGACTGAGACAAGTGCAAAGTGTGGGGAAAAGGCATGAACAGGAGTGGTAAATAAAATAATGGGTGGGCTACACAAAGACTAAGTGTCAGATTCTCACTTAAAGCCTACCACCAGATGCAGCTTAATGTCATTTTCCACTCAATGAATAGGGTTTTGATATGAGTTTGCAAACAATTGATTTACTATGGTCTCTGAGCAGTCAAACCTCTCTGCTAATGATAATCTGTATTTGAAGCCACTCCCCAGTGCTAGTATCACCACCTCAGCTCCACCTCAGATCATCAAGCCTTAGATTCTCAAAAGGAGTGTAACCTAGAGCCTTCCAATGTGCAGTTCACAGTAGGCTTCGCACTCCTATGAGAATCTAATGCTGCTGCAGATCTGACAGGAGGTGGAGCTGTAAAAAAGTGGATGGGGAGTGGCTGCAAATACAGATGAAGCTTCCCTCCTTTCCCTGCTACTCACTACCTGCTATACAGGCTGGTTCCTAATAGGCCATGGACCTGGACCTTACCAGTCTGGGGTCTGGGGAGTAGGAACCACAGATTTATATGTAATAAATTCCTATAAATCAATATGGAATAGAAAAATTATCCAATAGGCAAAGGTGCAGAGAATATAAGCAATAAATTCACAAGAAAATAAATGCCAATTGCTAATACATAAATGGTGTGCTCATTGAATTGGCTCAGGTTCTCATGCACCAATCCTGATTCCAGGAGTATGGTCAAATAAAACTGAAAGATACATCTTCACTACAGAAATGAAAAGTAAAGCAACAATCAAATAAGCAAGAAAAAAATTTTTTTTTATCCTTCCATGTCTGGACAGTTCAGGTTTACCTATCAGAATTCTAGTGTCCAGATAGGCAATGACAGGTTGGAAGTTTCAACATTCAAAATGTGTAAGTTTGGTTAAATTTCTTTCTTCCGAAATCAATTTTTCTTCTTTCAATGGTATCTATTGCCTCTGGTGTGGAAAATAAATTATAGACTTTTGCCTGAGAGGTGAACAATTGCCCAGTGTCATTCAATGTGTGGGCTAAAAGTTATTTTAGTTGTTCCCTTATTCCCATTTCCTGATTAAATTGATGCTATTAAGTCCTCAGCCTTTTGAGGAACGTTCAGAGAAAAAGTTTGCTATTATGCTTGTCTCTACTAGTAGTTTAAATTTCATCATTCTTGTATATGCTAAGCCAGAATAAATTTAGAAGAATAAAATGGGAAGAATTGCTCTACCCATTGTAAAGAATTATATGCAAGTTCAGCAATCAAGGAAGTATGCTGTTGGCAGAGGGATAGACAAATAGTTCAATATAATAGAGTAAAGCATGCAAAAATAAATCTATACAAATATGCCCAACTGACTTTTGTCAAAGTCATAAAAGCAATTCCACGGAAGCAATTTAACATATGGGCTTGAAACAATTACATGTTCATTAGCAAAAAACAAAAACCAACAAAAAACCCAAACCTAAAAGTAAATTTTGCACTTCACAATTTAACTAAAAATCATTTGTATAGTTAAATATAAAGTGCAAAACTATAACATTTTTAGAAGAAAACACAGGAGCTAATCTTTGTGACTTAGGTTATGGCAAGAGTTCTTTTTTTTTTTTTTTTAAGCATTTTATGGGGGTACAAATGTTTAGGTTACCTGTGTTGCCTTTCCTCCCCTTCTCCCCCAGATTCAGAGCTTCAAGTGTGTCCATCCTCCAGATGGTGCACATCGCACTCATTACATATGTATATACCCATCCCCTCCTTCCCTCTCCCATCTGCCTGACGCCCGATAAATGTTATTCCTATATTACCACACAGATGTTGATCAGTTAATACCAATTTGCTCGTGAGTACATGTGGTGCTTATTTTTCCATTCTTGGGATACTTCACTTAGTAGAATAGGTTCCAGCCCTATCCACAAAAATACAAGAGGTGCTATATCACCATTGTTTCAAGGCAAGAGTTTTTATGCATGACAACAAGCACATGATCCATAAAAGAAAAAAACTGATAAATTGAATTTTATCAAAATTAAAAACTCTGCACTATAAAATACCTTCATAGAGATATCAAAAGACAAGCCTCTTCTAAAATATTGAAAATATTTGAAAATTACACATATGGTGAAAAAAAACCCTTGTATCCTTAATATAAAAAGATTTCTGTACACTCAACCATGAGAACACATACATTCCAATTGGAAAATGGGCAAGCACTTGAACAGATGCTTCACAAAGGAGAAAATGCAATAACAAATAAGTACATGAAAACATGCACAGCACAATTAGCAATTAGGGAAATGTAAATTAAAGCCATAATGAGATATCACTACAAACCAATTAGAGTGGCTGAAATTTTTTAAACAATTGTGATATATCACAGAGAAACTGGATCTCTCATACACTGCTG